AAAAAACATTGCGCATTTCTTCTAATCTATCCACTACTAAAAATTAGCTCTTATTCATCCTCTTCTATCCTATGAGGCGCTTTAATACCAATTAAAATAGCAATTTCAAATTTAATCATTCAAATTAATGTTTTTATAGGAAATACAGTTAACGTTTCAATTATTTAAAATAATAAATTTATTATTTATTTTATTGTTGACCATTTAATTTTGTATTTTGACATCTTCAAAATTCCGAAATGCAAATGATCCAATCTTAAAATTTTGATATACAGTCGATGACTCTGAAATCCTGAAATATCATTCGATCCGTCAGAAATATATGTTATTTTAATTTTGCAGGTAATATTGGCGATTATGATGAATTAGGAAGCGAAATGGATGAGGCCAGAAAAGATGGTAACTTTTCGCATCATTGTAATTTGACTTTTGGCTAATGAAATAACTAGTAATCTTGGCCAAAACTTGCTGTTATCTTTTCGAAGATCATTGCTATTTCATTTTTTCTTCTTTATCAACTAATATCAGTACAGTGTTAAAGATCAACGATTTAAATGTGAACCAATTAATTGTAATTTTTTATTGCTATTCTAACTGAATGACCATCATATTTCTCTATTCTTACAAATCCTTTCGATTTTAATCTTTCTTTCTTTGGTTTTTCATTTCTTTTTTAATCATCTCAAAATTTCTCCTGATTACTTTGACCTTAGACCTTTTTCCAAGATATTCATACTGGAAGTTATTTGTGCTATCACCGTAAAAGGTATAATATTCAACGAAATAGTTTCAGTATTTTTTACCCTCACCTTCGCATCATTTTTAAAAGCATCATTAAATTACAGCGATATCAATATCAGCGGAGAATGTATTCTACCTGGTTATCGGATGTGTGGGTGCAGTTATTTTGGTTATTGCTCTGCTGATATTTGTTTATTATCGTTCGATTAAAAAATCAACTTCATCTATTACCGAACCTTCTCAATTTTGGATTCAGTAAGTATCTGTAATTCTTTTAAAATACATTATCCAACTATAAAACAAATTACTTCCCCCATACTTCATGGAAATCAATATACAATTTCGCCAAATATTTTAACAGAGATAATTAGTTGGATTATTAAGTTACTGGTTAAATGATCGTTTTGCTTGTAATTGAGTAATAGAATAATCATGGAAAAGCAATATATCATTGCCAATATTCATTTTCATTATAGATTATAAAATGTTAATGAGTAAATAATTACCGAATAGTTATTTCTCTAAATGAAAAACTGAAATATTCTATAATTTTCCAGAAAATCTCAAAATCCAGCGGAGAACTTATCAGCTAACTTATCGGAAACTTATCCGTTGGTATCCAAAAGTATCGTCAAAGGTATTTTTAGATTCTTTGGCACTCATTTTCAATAATTGCAATTGTTACTATCGCTATCATTATCAACATTGTTGTTATCAACAAAACTATTATTATTATTATTATTATTATTATTATTATTATTATTATTATTATTATTATTATTATTATTATTATTATTATTATTATTATTATTATTATTATTATTATTATTATTATTATTATTATTATTATTATTATTATTATTATTATTATTATTATTATTATTATTATT